TTTGTGGGAAAATTCTACTTCTACCAGTCCTTCGTCACCTTAAACGAAATTGGGTGAATACATCTTATAATTGATTTACTGGTAGTCACGAAAAACAATACTTAATTCGAAAAATAAAATAAATCAAGTATGATACTTCTACTACTTGAGCTGTAACATTTTTGCGGCAAGTTCATATGTAGCTTGGCGGTAATGTATAACAGAAATGGGTTTCGAAAAATCCCTTGATATGATGATGCTGACATATCTTTAATTTCTTTTGCAAAAACTACTTTAAGGCATTTGTAAACTGGCCCAATCGGACACGAAGGAATTGTGATTGCAGGACTGTTCGGCATCGATGAATGAGTACTGTGTTTTCGGTCGTCATGTGAAGGACATCACAAGATGCAGAAACCATCGCTTACGAAAATTCATCATCTTTCTTGGTTGCTGGCTATACCGATGTACGTCACGTGAAGGACGAAAGCTCAGCATGGATTCAACCGTCGCAGCACGGTGAGCCGTGGTCATCTTTTCACAATCCATCAGTCACAAGTGTGATTAGATCCTCCTTCGATGCCCATTAAGACCAATTTATGAATCACTTCCGCCCGCCCAACCGACGAAATGACAGGTATGCCAGCATCAATCTATGAAGAGAGTCTTCGAAACCAAGCCTCTCACTACAGGTTACCACTAAACTGCATATTTGTCTATTGACCCAATTTCCATTGCAGTTGGTGATGATGAGTAAACAAGAAATAAATTTCAAAATAGTCAGAAGAAGTATGGTCTAGCGAGATTCAATGTAAATAATAGGCCATCGTAGAAAGATTAGTTGAATGTTCCTGAAGGACTAAGCCAGCGAAGGTGTGTTAACTGATCGGAATCTTGCGACAATCACACGTTAAATGGCAAAGCTTTACTTAGCCCTGAACTGCATTGAATTAAAGGACTTGTCTCTCGGTAAAATTTTCACTGCAAATATGGTGATTCCGCAAAAAACGAATGAATTGAAATTAGTTGCCTATTGGCACTTGGCACATGAGAAGGTACAGCATAATGATCGTTAAATCAGCACAAATACATAAAATTTGGCCTAACCTTGATGCATTTGCCATGAAGCTCAGTCATGTCGCCATCGCAGGAGATTTCGTCAGCCTCCTCCATGTCTAGGCCATCATCATCGTCATCTTCATCTTCCAATTCATCATAATCTCCTGTCAAACAATCTGGCGCCTCAGAATTAACCAGTAACCGGTCAGGAGGATGTGGCCTCTTGACGACCCCAGGCATCATCAGCTTCTGCTCCACGCTTAAGTTCGTGTCGACCTCGAGTTCATGGTCTCTGTTGGAGCAATTGTACACGTGCAAAGGTCGAAATCGGGCTCCAGAACCGGAGTCCTGACCGCCAACAGAGTGTCCTATCTCCTCAAAAGGTCTGCGGATAAGGTGAGCAGGCAAGGCGTCATCAGCCCGACCAGGACCTGTGGTGACAAATTCGTGGCCCATGCGATAGCGCCCACGCCAGGAATCTGAATAACTGATGGGACCACGACCACGGCTGCCAGCTGACTCCCGAAGACCGCGACCCCCTCGCGACCCTCGGCCAGTCGGGCCACGAGCCCGGTACATACCCACGGGGAGGCATACTGGACTCGTCATACAGGGGCTGGAGCCAGAAAATGAAGTCGCTGATACCCTCGACACCTCGGGCATCGGATGGCTTGGGTAGCCGGGCCCAGACATTTGGAGAGTCAGGGGATCGCCAATTCTAGAAGTGGCAAGGGAAGCCAAGGAGGCACTGGACGAGCTAGTTGTGATTGAAAAAACCACAGTTCCCCCCGCCAAAGAGGGACGTCCACGACCCCGTCCCCGACCACGACCGCGTCCCAGGCCTCCGCGACCGGGAACACGATAGACTCCAGCCGCGTTGTTGCCAAGCGCATGCAGTCCACCAGGCACACCTTGCGGAGTTAATGCCGTTTTCTGAAGTCCCGAAACCAGACCAGTTGCCATCGCCTCAGCGACACCTGATTCGAGGCCAAACAAGCGCTGCAGATGTGGCTGTAGCTGATGTTGCAGCTTAGGCCGTCGACCACGTTTCCTCGGTGGCGCCGGAGCGACAAGCGGCAAATGCGCATTCATTTGGTTTTCGACTACCTCGACCATGTAAAACTCGTCTCGCGAAAGCGAACGCGTGGAAGCAAACAAGGCCTGAGCAACATGAGGTGGTGTATCCTCGAGAGAGGCGTTCACTTCGTCTGCGATCTCGGCCACCTGGTCAGCCAGACGTTGGCCAGTCGTGAAGGAAGGTAGAAGTGAGATTGCGTAGGCTCGTGCTGCCTCCACTTCGGCGACGGATTCAAGAGAATCGGCTCGCTGAAGAACCGAAACTACAGTTGCTAAATTTCCCGCAGAAGAGGCGTCAAAAACGGCGTCATTGTGAGATCCGTTGGTAGGCGTTTCGTTGGCACCCTGCTTAAGAGTGCGTGAGCCTGCCACCTCGGCGGTGCCCACGTCTTCTTCGTCCTCTTCATCCTCTTCGTCTTCTTCCATTTTGGAATCGACTTCAGAATCCGCGGACTCAAGAGAGGACGAGAAGCTGGCCGACCTCGTGAGTCCACCAAATAAACCCGCCCTAGGCGGCGCAGCTGAGTTGACCGGAACGGATTGCTGAGTCACTGAGGTCTGTCCGGCAGCCGTTGGTTTGCAAGAGCCAGATTCTACCAAAGGAAATATGTCAGGCAGTGCAGGGTCGCGATCCAAACTGTCGAGGATGCGATTAATGTCAGCATCTAAAGAGCCGCCGGCTCCAGGAGCAAGCTCTCGAGGCAACCCTCCACTGGAAACGGATCCGGGATCCGCACTCAGTTGAGACTGACTGCCAGCAGCATGGAAATGACAGCTCAGGTCGGCAACGCCCTGGCCGGCCAAGGAGCCCATCGACAAGGATAGGGCGGCTGAGCTGCTGGGAGGTGAATGTATGCCTTGGCGGTCGGGAGGCAAATGAAGAGAATGGGAGATCGAGCGCGAATGGGCGTGGGGATGAGTGTGTGGTGCGAAACCGGCGAACTGTGAAGAGGCAGCCGATGCCGTGGTAGTGGATCGGTCGTGGCCGGACAGGGAGCCACCGCCGCTGCTGCAACTTCCCGCGCCACCGCCTCCAATGCCGCCAATCAAGCTGCCACAAGATTCTCGCGAGTGCTGGGCACGATAGTGCTTCACGAGGATGTGCTTGTCGTAGCAGGTGAAGTGACAAAGGTCGCAGTGGAATGGCTTATCCCCGGTGTGCCGGTGATAGTGCAAGTCCAAACTGTCTTGGTTTCGAAAGCGCCGCAGACACTCGGGCCAGGGGCATATGAAGTTTTTCTCACATTCTACAGGAATTGCAAAATACACACACACAATTGTATATATATATATATATATATATATATGTTTAAAGTAAATAAGGCTAGCATAAAAGG